CTCCATGCGGGCTTTCATGTGTCTTGCACTGAGGAGAGGCTTCCGTCGGGCCACTCTGCCATAAAGCCCCGACTGGTGGAGGGCTGCAGTGATGGTTGACTTTCTACAACTTTCTGAGCTCTTCAGGCAGTTCCTTTGACCTCATGATTCTCATTTGCTCTGACATGCACTGTGAGCTGTAAGGTCTTATATAGACAGGTGTGTGGCTTTCCTAATCAAGTCCAATCAGTATAATCAAACACAGATGGATTCAAATGAAGGTGTAGAATCATCTCAAGGATGATCAGAAGAAATAGACAGCACCTGAGTTAAATATATGAGTGTCACAGCAAAGGGTCTGAATACTTAGGACCATGTGATATTTCAGTTTTTCTTTTTTAATAAATCTGCAAAAATGTCAACAATTCTGTGTTTTTCAGACAATATGGGGTGCTGTGTGTACATTAATGAGGAAAAAAAAAGAACTTGAATGATTTTAGCAAATGGCTGCAATATAACAAAGAGTGAAAAATTTAAGGGGGTCTGAATACTTTCCGTACCCACTGTATTAATCTGTAGGTATACCACTGATCTACAAACACGTTTGACAAAATTTCCAAGGTATTTTAACAAAAACCTTTATTTTGTGGAAAACAGTGATCAAAATTAGAGAACAATAACCACTGTCGCACGAAAGATTACAACTAAACTTTTGGTAGTAGGAAGTTAGAGGCCCTCGCTTTCAATGACTTTAGCACATCTGTGGCTGCAGGACATCACTAGTTTCTCACACTGCTGTGGTGTGATCTTGGTCCACTGTTCTTCCACTCTTTTCCATAGTTTGGTGACTGTAGTGGGCTTCTTTGCCATAACTTTGTCGCCAAGGATTTTCCAGAGATTTTCAGTCGGGTTTAGACCAAGACTCTGGGCCGGCCATTTCATTATTTCAATGTTCTTAGCTTCAAGGAACTGCTTTACCTGCGCTTTCAGTCCGACTTCTCTTAAACGTCCCGAGACAGATCCAGACCGTTCAGCACTGAACTGGCAAGCAATTCCAGCTGCAGTGTTGAACCGATTACCCTGTCTTCTTGTGCATTTGTCTTACGTGGACGACCAGACTTTTTGGGGACTTGAATGAAATGGTGTCATTGTAAAGCTGCAATATTATAGAAATCACAGATTTGGAACGACCAGCTTCTCTTGCAGTGGCTGAAAGGGTCTTCCATTTGGCCTTCATCTGGACAACCTCCTGTCGCAGGGTTTCAGTCACCTCAGAGCAGCCCGTCATCTTACAATCTCAGGGAAAATTGGAGGAATGCTGCCAGTTAAATAGGGTTTGTCATACAATTAAGGAAATTAGCAACATGTGCCAAATTAACACAAATAACTTGTATGTTCTCTCATTTTGATCAGAGTTCTTTTTCCAATATCTCACTGAAGTTTTTGATACTGTGCTTCAGAGTAAAATTCATTTATGAAATATGCTTAAAAAACTGCCCTTATACTCCGGTTAGGATAACTTTAAATAGGACTAAGCAGTGACCTTGAAATTTAGGAAATTGTAGGTTCTCTCATTTTGATCTCCACTGTACATAACAGAAAATAAAAAAATTAAAATGTGTTTTAAACAGGAAATTTGTGTTTGTTTTCCTTCCTCCCCAGGCCCCGATTGCCGTGCGAATGGCTAAAGTAGCCATGAATCGAGGCGCGGAGGTGGACATCTCTTCAGGAATGGCTATTGAGGGAATGTGTTATGCCAGGGTGAGTTATACATACATAAACCATATGAAACAAATCTGCACTATTTGATTTTGTCGCAGTATCTTGTGTACTTGGTTTGACTGAATGTTTTATGGTTTCTCAGCTCATTCCTACACGGGACAGACAAGAGGGCATGGCTGCGTTTATAGAGAAGAGGCCTCCAAGGTACATTGGAGAGTGAATATCTGAAGGTTTTAAACCTGCACAACATGTTTCAAATCCACATGTACTACAGTACAAACATGTTGAACATGCTGTACTTACGTTACTACACTGTAACCAGTGTTGGGTTTCAATTTTCTTTTGAAATCTGAGCTTTGTAATGCCTAAAAATAACCACCACAAATAATTTAAAAAGGACTTTGTCATGTGCATTTTTCACGTACATAATGAAAGTCTCCATGCTATGTTGTGAAGTATTTCAGGTCTGTAAACCTGGCCAAAGTTGCCAGCCGAAATTAGAATTACAGTAGAAATGGTAACAAATACTATTTCATGCAATGTGCAAGAACAGCTGCATGACACAATAAGATTTTCTGGAACAAAGCACATTTGCTGGAGCATCTCATCATAATACATGGCCGTTATGAACAGAAAACCAAATCCATGCTGCGAAAAGAAGCATACACATCAAGGGAAATTAAACATTTATAAACAGAAAAAAGCTTCTGTAGATCACTGGAACAAAATGGAATATCATTTTTTTTTTATTGCAATTTCAAACAAGACAAGTTGAACCTGCTGTTTAACAGCTTCATTGGTGTTAAGTTCAATCAAACTTCAAGTTCAATGCAAGTATGTTTAGCAAGAAGGCAAATCCAATGACGTTTGGCAAATCACCAGCGCTCCGAAGTTGCCATGATGAGAACAAAGTCCTTCCTCTTGACTTTTTTTTTACAAGGTGCCGTTTATCTGCGTCCGTTTTTATGTCTACATGCTTGATTTCTCAACGTGGTTTACAAGGCAATCCATTTATTGACGCGTTCCTGCTTTCCAGCAAAGGCAAAAGCTTTATTTTTATTCATCTCCACCCGCTTCGTTTGCTTCTGAAGAGCTCTGGGTTCTTGAGGAATCTTTCAGCGGAGTGTCCAGTCCAGTACCATTTTTGAAACAAACTCAAATCTGGATCATAATACTTTGCGTGCAACATATCATAAACACTGTCATCTGCCACGGTTCATATACAGTCTATAAAAATATATTTCATCCCTAAAGCTCTCATGCTGTTCAATGCACTTCAATACACACTTTTTTCTCTCTCATAGATGCAATTTAACATTCCACTCTTAATGTTACCAACTCTGTTGTTGTCTTTTTTGTATTATTGCATTTTATGCCCAACAGGACAGAAATCTGTAATTTTAATTGAAATTTCCTATGGAGTTACATCCAAATCTGAATATGCATACATAGCAATCTGATGCACATGCTCTTAATACACACATATAAACTCTCACATACTTCCCACGTTTTAACATAAACGCGCTCTATGAGCTGCTGCGCATCTAAATAAACATTTCCTCAGATAACGGAGACTTAATTCTTACGTCAAATAAATAACGGATTCCGTCGTGTGCAGACATACGCAAAGTAATTCATCCGCACGTTCCTCTTAACAGGAAGAGCAGCAGAGCGTCATTGTCATACGGATGGGCACAAGTGAACACAAACACATACAAAAAGCTTCCAGTTTTTTGCGGCATCCTATCCAGAGACCACTAATTGTGTCATGGAAGGTTTTTCTCTGGAAAATGTGGAATTAAAATCTCACGTTAGACCTAAAATTGAACATTTAAACTTTAGAAAGTGAAGTTTTGAAATGCAATTCGAAGGTTAAATCCCTGATTTAGGGATAGTTCACCCAAAAATGAAATCTTCGGAACACAGATTAAGATATTTTTTGATGGAATCCCGAGAGCTCTCTGACCCTCCCATAGACAGCAAGGATCCAAAACACGATCAAGGCTCAGAAACGTAGCAAGGACATTGGTTAAATAGTCCATGTGACCTCAGTAATCGTGTAATTTTACGAAGTTACGAGAATACTTCTTGTGCGCAAAGAAAATAATCAGTGCTGATTACGTTGATTACATTCTGGGGTACTCTCCAAAATGGCGGAAAACGGTAACTCGGGGAGAAGAATTGTTGAATAAATTATGTTATTATTTTCTTTGCGCACAAGAAGTATTCTTGTAGCTTCGTAAAATTACGGTTGAACCCCTGATGTCACATGGACTATTTTAATGCTGTCCTTGCTACGTTTCTGAGCCTTGATCGTGTTAGGATCCTTGCTGTCTATGGGAGGGTCAGAGAGCTCTCGGAATTCATCAAACATATCTTAATTTGTGTTCCGAAGATGAACGAAGGTCTTACGGGTTTAGAACGACATGAGGGTGAGTAATTAATGACAGAATTTTCATTTTTGGGTGAACTATCCTTTTAAAATGTAAAAGGAACTTGACGTTGGTTCTTCTGTGGACACGTACCTCTATGCATGTGTATTTTGGGTGGCTCTGTGGCGATGTAAACTGTTGTAGGATATCAGACCGAATCAGACAATCTAAGATTTGGTCAGAACCGAGTTGAGGCACGAGGAGTCACAAAAATGCCGTAAAACAGTGATTCTGTCCTAATTCCCTTGCATATCAATGGTGGAGTTCCCTTTAAAATCTTAAATGATTCCCTTTGAGCTAAATTATTAAATTATTATCACTGTTTACCCTACACTGTCTAGGATGCTTTCGGCCAATCGCCGCACGTCGCCGTGGGTTTTGGGATGTGACCTCATTGCCTCTAGCTGCTGCTGTCCTCCCTCCTCCAGTAACATGCTGCAGTACCGCCCCGCTGCATTCATGTAGGCAGTACAGGAAATAAAATTAACAACACAAAGTGTCTGGGCTCAGAAGTGTTGGGTTTATAGTGCTGATCTCACCATTTTTGCTGCAGACGTGCTGCATGGCCCATGCGGCCCACAGCTGGACTCCTGGGGTCTGGAAGCACTCCAGTAAAGGGAAGAAAGGGTTGAACGACCTGGAAAAGACAAACAGAGATGTACACTAAAAACTCTATTTCTTTATAATACTATAAATCATTTTCTTTCTAGTGCATGAATGGCAAAGTAGAAGAGGGGTCTACACAAGCATTAAACCAAAAGCAAGACCCCCTTAATGTGACTGAACACCAGTGTCATGTCAAGTGTTGTTAACTAAAACTATTTTGTTTTTGTTTTAAATGGAAATAAAGCTGAAATAAAACATACAGTACATATTAGATGAAACGCGTAAACTGAAAATTAGAATATGAAAAACAAGTGTAATAACAGAAAAAAAATTTATAATGGAAAAAAACTAAATGGAAACAATAAAAACTAAATAAATGTAAAAAAGGGAAAAGGCACATTCATTTTAGTTTCTTAATCTGATTTTTTTAAATTAAGAAATGAAAACTGAACATATCATATTATGTAACATGAATCATATTAATTATATGTTAATAAAAATTCAAACACAGAAATAATTCAAATATTAATAAAAATACTGTAATAGTATATTATTAATAATACAAAAATAACACTGCTCAACACAACCAGTACTGTCAAGGTTTTAGTTAACAACTTTAAAGTTAATTGCAAACTTGTTGTTACCTTGTTGTCATTTATTTTTAACAAACATTTTATGCATTTTACAAATTTAACTGAATATATTAAATGTTTATTTATAAAAAAAATCTGTACTTTTTAGACATTTTGCACATTAAAAATTGTTTCATGTCACAAAATAAATAGGAAAAAATAGCTCATGCATTATTAACTTTATTCCTGTGGTTCCATAAAAAAAAAATCATAATTCATGTTTATCTTACAATATATTTTTATATTTAAAAATTTTTTTGATTTTAAGCCCAAACTCAATAAAAGTTTGAGGATTTAAGAGCCCAATGAACTCATTTTATTTTTCCCCCAAATTCTCAGTTTTAATTTTTTTTAGGGCACCGTTTTAATAGTTTAAATAAATTGATTATTAAAAATGGTGTCTAATCAATTGAATTCAAAGCTTTAATAATTTATCGACATTTTAACAATAACAGTGCTCTATGAAATGTCTTAAAAATGGCCAAAACCAGACCTGACAAACTCTGTTGTTGAGTAGCACACCTCTTTAGTACTCTACACTGTTTTTGCTTCACATTCAGTGAAGCATGTTTCTTGTCATTTCTCACCTGTACGCTACCATCTCACATTCCGGCATTGGCCACTTCAGAATCACCGAATGCTGGGAGAGATACATAATGATTAAACCATTTACTCAGGCCTCAGGTGCAATAATACCCAAACAATTTATACTTGTGTTTGCGCAAGCACGCACCAGTTTCTCCAGCAGCGTGGTCCTGAGTGACAGGTCGAGGGTCCACACCTTCTCGCCCCGTGAGGTGAGGTGTGCCAAGATGCCTGCGGCAAAATAACTGACCTCCACCTCTGGACTGTGCAGCAGAGAGCGGATGTGATCCAGAAAACTCTGAACCATCAGCTCACCGTGCAACTCCCCCACCTCAGCGATGTTGTTCTGAATACAAAGGAAACAATCACACAACACATTCAGAACTAGACAAGATAGAGAAAGGACAACAACAGCACAGGGGACCACAGCTCCAAAAATACAACTGAATACAAAGCGAAATAGTCTCATTATACTTTCTACTAAGGGAAACTATTAGCATAATCCCTCAGCAGTGCTTCCTTTGACACGAGAAGGCGTTTTTATCAGTGCTGCCCACAGCTTCAGAATCACTCACCTCAATTCAATTTCACCAGAGCACAACATTGCAATATGTATTTCTCTCTCCAGTGCATAACCAGCACAGAATTATTAGAGGCTTGATACAAAAAAATGCTTCTAAAGAATGTTATGCATGCACACACACGAAGTGTTCGAACGTTTTGGGGTTTAAAAAAAAAAAGTCTCTTATGCACACCAAGGCTACATATAATTGATCAAAAATCCAATATAACAGTAATATTGTGAAATATAATATAAATACATTTTAATATGCAATTTATTTCTGACGCAAAGCTGAATTTTCAGCATCATTACTCCAGTCTTCTGTGTCACTTCAGAAATCATTCTAATATGCTCATTTTGATGCTCAAGAAACATTTCTTATTATTATCAATGTTGAAATCAGTTGTGCTGCTTAATTTGAATTTTTTTGGCAAAATGTGATACATTTTTTGTTAATTCTTTGAGTACAAAGTTCAATAGAACAGCATCTTTAAGGAAACATCTTTGTCACTTTTGGTCAATTTATCAATCCTTGCTGAATAAAAGTTTATATATACACAGTCAAACCAAAAATGATCCAGACACCAGATATCATTTTTGATATTTTTGTACTAGTGGTTGCAGGACACTATAGTTCATTTATGTAAGTGAGGATAGCAAAATAAAGTAAACTGTGACATATTATACCCAACAATTCTTCATAGAGTGGACTACCAGTAAAATTTATAAAATTTTGGGACCAAAAATTATGACACTTTGACCTGACCATGTTTTGCGTGCGTGTTTTTTGTTTAATTGCTAATGCGACCTTTTTACACCACAGACTGAACAAAATTAAGGTAATTGGTTGACCTAAATTGGTATTATCTAATTGTGTTAACAGCTGACAGCTATTCAACCTAATTCATTTGTGAGACAGTCTAACAGAAGGATTGCATTATTGAGATGCGTGTGCGTGTTTATGTGTGTTAAATTAAAACTAATAAAAATCAAATTTTAAGGTTTAAATCAGTTTTTGACCCCCACTGTATAGATTGTTTCTTACCAGTAAACCCAGGATCTTCAGTTGAATGGATGACTCTGATGGAAAGGACTGGAAAAAGAGACATTTTGACGAGAATTCAAGGCAGGTTTTTAACAAATTACTGTTGCTTTCTTTTCCGAAAATTCCATAAAAAGGTGTTTACCTCGAGTACTTTGATGAAGAGCTCTAGTCCCTGGTTCTCTATGAAGTATCTGCAGGTGGTAGGAGATTCATCTGTGAGGTTCCACAGAGCGCTGAGTGTGAACTTCAACGTGGCATCCATGATACCCTGACACGTTTTCTACCACACAATGTGCAGGAGTTGCTATGATGTGAAGAATGAGAGAGAGAGATAACAGCTATCTACAAATGCACAGGACGCGATTCACAAATGCGTGCAGCGATCTACAAATGCACAGGACGCGATTCACAAATAAATCCCAGGCAAAGTTGTGGTTGTGACAAATATATATTTGTGAATATGTTTTTTATTTGCAAATCTCATTTTATTTATTTGTGAATTTATTTCTTGTTTGTGAAACTTTAAGATTTATTTGTGGATCTCATTCTATTTATTTGTGGATCATAATCTATTTATTTGGAATTAAGCAACAATTCTACCCCCATACTTCTGCATTATGAGAACAATAATACACTTTTGTTTTCTACATTTAGGATGCATTTTTGTAAGTACATTTTATATCAATAAATGTTATTTTATACTTTATATCATTCTAAAAATCTATATATACACACACACACACACACACATTTACATAAATGTGCATAAAATACACTAATTTTAATACATTCCAAATACCCGATTCCAAAAAAGTTGGGACACTGTACAAATTGTGAATAAAAACAGAATGTTTGTGGCCACCCCGTGCCCCCCTTGTGGACATGCCACTGCCATGCCACTCTTTATCACAACCCTGCTAAAAGTGCCAGTACGTGCGCTCATTGGCTCTGGCTGTAGCCTCAAATTTTTGGCATGTCTAGAACAATTCTTACAAGTATAACACGACGTAGCTGGGCGCCACGGACAGACGCCGAACGGCGCCACCGGTGTGCCTACACTCATAGAAAATAAAGTATTTGAATTTTAAAGACGCTGCGCTTCTCGTCCGGTGCGCGACCGCCTGAAATGCTGTTTTTTCACCTCCAAACGTCTTTGTCTGGGCTTCCGAAAGCGGTTGATGTCAGGAAACAGTGGTTGCAGGAAGCATACTCAAGTTAAATTGAATCCGCACACACACACATTTGAGGTATTACTATGGTCAACAGATTGCAGTGAACATTTATTTTAATATTCACTTTAATATTTTGATGTTTCAAAATGTTAAACGTAAATGACATACTTGATATAAAATGGCTTTGAATTCTTGAAACTTTTAGCTTTTTCATTTTTAGTTTCCCCCTCATTGCCTCTGTTTAACACTAACATAGATGCATATATATATAGATATATAGATATATAGATAGATAGATGTTTTAAATATGATGTTCAGATGTCCCATGTCTATAACGCCAGATGGTCTGATGGTGACCTCTGTGATCCCAGTGTGAAGAGGTTAGTAGCTGCTATTAGTGTTGGGAAACAAGCATTTTCCATTTAAATACCGGAACCAAATGATTGTCATGATGCTCAGCTCTGTTAACTGTTCTTGAACCCACATTCTAACGCCAATCTAAACAGAACACCATTTATTGAGCCGGTACTTTCAAATGAATCTTCTGAAACAGCAACCAGTGTGATCTGATTCACAAACAAATGACTCTTAGGAACCGGTTCTTTTCAGTGAATCAGAATCACAGCGCGACCACTGTAGTCTGCTATCTGAACGAATGACTCGTAAAAACGGTCCGTTTAGTGAATCAAATACGCACAGCGAGTCTAGTTCCCAAACGAATGATTCTTATGAACCCGTTCTTTTTAGTGAATCAACATTTTTTTCAGTAGCCTAAACAGTACAAACATTAAAACAGGAAGGCAGTAAATCATGAAGCAAAACATAAGAAACATATACAACAAGAGTATACACAGACACAGGCGTATTGCCAGGGTAACAAAAAACAACAATGTTGTAATGCATTTATAAGTGAATCAACAACATATGCGCTAATGCTAATGCGCGACCCGCGTAGTCTGATGTTCGAGCAAATGACTCTTATGAACCGTTTTTTCCAGTGAATCAAAAGCATTTAAAGTGCAGTCTGCTTCCCAAACCAATAACCCAGTTCATTCATCTAAGTGAATCAGAAACATACAGCGTGACCTGACTTCAGAACGAGTTTAGTGAAACAAACTTTTAACGAAAGACTCACTTTCTAAACCGCAATTTATTATTTTCGTCATGTCCGACTCAACGTGAACCCGAATGGTTTGTCACACATGAGTTTGAATCAGTGGTGGTAGTGTATAAAATGAACGAACTGAATTAATGTTAGGCTACTACATTTTTGTTCAATATTTGTATTACCATACATTTATCAGTGAACACATTATTGCTGTTGAGGTCTGAAATCTAAATAAAAGCATTTGGCAACAAACAAACTCCTGAGGGCAGAATATACAATAAAACTGCATCAAAATTTCCCAAAAATGTCTTCCTTAAAAGTACTAAAAGATGATTCCCAGAAATAATACATGATGCTCAGGCATTCTTCACCTCTAATGTCACGGCAGCAGCAGCAGACTGAAACCACGCCCTTTCTCAGCATCAGATGAAGCCAGTAGCCCCGCCCACATTCGCTCTCCTCCAATAAGATTGCAGCAGGATCAGACTGAGCACGTAGCCTCGCCCCCTGTCGAATCGACGGACACACACTAGGCTCACTCGCGGACACTTGCCGCTCCTGCTGGGACATCACAGGCGCTCGGCTGTTGCTGTTTTATGTTGTTTATATTAGTTTGCTGGACCGTCGCGTGCTGCACGGAGTAACGGTCGCAGCATCCCCGCGCGCGCAGGAGTTGAGCACGGATCGTGAAGCGGTGAGTTTGACGCCGTTTAACGTAACGTTAGTTGCTTGTGATGCGCAGTGTGCTGTTATGAGCGAGATGTTAGCTAACAGGCTACAGCAGCAGCAGCAGCAGCACGCCTATGATGAGATTAATAGCGACTAGAGCCGCTCTGACCGGCGACATGCTGTTAACGGACTGAAGATGCGGCTGGTTAGGGGGGGTTCATGTGCATGTGTGTGTCATGCGCTGGCTGCGTGTAGTTGGACGACTTTTGCGGGATCAACGCGCGGGTCTGATGCGCCGTTTAACGTAACGTTAGTTGCTTGTGATGCGCAGTGTGCTGTTATGAGCGAGATGTTAGCTAACAGGCTACAGCAGCAGCAGCAGCAGCAGCACGCCTATGATGAGATTAATAGCGACTAGAGCCGCTCTGACCGGCGACATGCTGTTAACGGACTGAAGATGCGACTGTTTAGGGGGGATTCATGTGCATGTGTGTGTCATGCGCTGGCTGCGTGTAGTTGGACGACTTTTGCGTGATCAACGCGCGGTTCTGATGATAATAAACCAGGCTTTTGCTGCTGGCGTGTACGTGTGTGTGTGTGTGTGTGTGTGTGTGTGTGTGTGTATTAATCTGCAGGATTAAGTTTATTCTCGTGGTTGATGCAAGTGGATCAATGCAGGATAACGGCTGTTTGTCTGGAGGGGTTTCATGTGCCCCCCACCCCAGTTTGAATCGGGGTGTGTCTCACTCTCTCTCTCACACACACACACTCACTCATACACTCTCTCGCACACACTCACACACACACACACACACTCATACACACTCTCACACACATACACACACACTCTCTCTCGCACACACTCACACACACACTCTCTCTCGCACACACTCTCTCACACACTCTCTCGCACACACTCACACACACACTCTCTCTCGCACACACTCACACACACACTCTCACACACACACTCTCTCTCTCTCTCTCTCACACACACACACACGCTCGTGCAAACTGAGGTTAATTTGACACTTCTGAACAACCTAATTTCTTTCAAAATGTACCATATTTTCTGCCAAATTACAATAGTTACCACATTTACTACTGTAGAAGTGGCATTGGTCACTGCTGTCATTACAAAAAAGATATTAAACAAAATTCTGGCACCGTTTGAAAGAGTTCCCATATCAATGTCTTATGGTTTTACAGTAGGATAACTGTAGTACATATTGTGTTTTGGTTGGTAACTATGTTATCATAGGCAATTTGAATGGAATATATGTTTACAAAAACAGTTCTTGTGTGTTTTTACACATCTCAAAACAAACCGAAAGCGATTTTTGTGTGTGAATCAAAATCAAATCGGTTATTATTGAACATTTAAGCTGTATTTATATCTTGACCTTTATTATTATTTTTATTATTCGATTCCGATTCACTAGCTAGATTCAATTCGTTTGGATATTAGTCTGGTACAGTATGAGACTTTTTTTTAAAAAGAAAACAAACGCTCAAATAATGCTCAGGGAACACTGTGTGTTGGTATGTTACTGTAATATTAAAGGCTAAATTTAAGAAAAAAGAGTCAAAACTATTTAATATAATTGCTTTTTGTTTTCGATGTAATAATTAACACTCAAAAACTGAGTTGTTTACAAACATTAAATGGACAGAATTTGAAAGTGTTTGATACCTTTTCATATGAAAAGTAACAAGGGCTTATTGTAATTATTGAATGGGAGGCACACTCCAAATAATGGTTGATGAAGTTTTGTTCAGGCATCAACAGAAAACATCAAAATGGAGATTGAATTGAGTCATCTATATTGTCAACCCATTATAAATGTGTTCCAAAGTCATCAATTATGATGCCCAATATGCCAGTATGCAAGCAGACTGTGTTCTGAGCCACAATGCATGTTTATACTGACCGTGAAAGTTGCTGGTCAATAGCACTGAATCCATTCAGTCTTTTTCTACAGTAAACTAGAAGACATTAATTATTTCTGCCTCAGCACTTATTGATCATATATGGAAATGGGACAGCCTTTCAGGATCCTTCTGTCTGAATAGAGCACAGTTATGTGATGAAATCACCCTAAATCAAAGTCATGTTAAGTAGCCTGATACTGTAATGTTCAAAAGAGGGAACTAGCCACAACTCTGATAACCGGGCAGTCAAGTTTTTGAGGATTATGATATGCTCATGATATGTTGGCTTATGACTAACTACGACTCATAATCAAATGTGTCAGTACAGGTTGGTTCATGATGCATTTTGAACCTTGAATTGTTCTCTCTGAAGAACAGAATGAACTTCTGTTTATGGTTGAGGTTCTTCATGCATATTG